TTTCAAAGTATTAAATAAGTGTGAGTAGTGACACTTTTGAATAGACTTTGAAATACGTAGTTGTAATATCACATAAGTTTTGCAGTATTCCATATTCTGTGAATGGGTTCACCGGTTATGCTTTCTAGAGTTTAGACCTCATTTCTCAGGTTGTTCTTGATCTCTTAAGGTCATTCCCAATTGGATGCGAGTTTCCCATCTCCGTAGACTTTCCCTCCACATCAACATACTTTAACATTAGGTCATTATGTTTAAACTTTGGGGCCGAACTTGCTCGTTGTACTTAGCCTTTGCTACTTGTTTGACAACGGCATCATGAGGGAGGTGGATATCCAATTTTCTTCCAAGATATCATCTTTTTCCCTAATTTTCTTGGACTCATATTCTTCTGATATGGAGTGTGCCTTCCTCCAGCTTAGATCTTCTACTTCAACAAGGATGGCGAATCTGGTCCCATAAATTAACCAAAAGCTTAGTCTTAAATGCATAGAGAATATATAGAAGTTCATTTTCCCTGTTTCTTTTTTATGCGTCAAGTCTTCTCTTTAACCCTCTCAAGACTACTCGGTTTACTTCTTTGGCATCTCCATTGGTCTGGGGTTGTTCCACTGATGTGAAATGCTGCTTATATTTTAGTTCATCTTAGATATTCTTGAAGTTACTATCTATGAAATGTGTCATGTTTTCGTCACACCAACTTGAGGGACTCCATATCTAGCTAGGATGTTCCTATTGGAGAATTTCAATATGTTGGCCGCTATAATATTTGTAAATGCTTCTACTTCAATCCATTTTGTTAATTAATCCACTACCATGATCAGGAACTTGAGTTGTCCTGGCGCCAAGGGGAAAAGACCAAGAATATTCATCCCCATTATGAGAAAAGGCAAGGTGTCGTTAATACATGTAGTTCAGACGAGGGGCGTTTTGGACGTCTCCATGTCGCTAGTATTGGTCATATCATTTCACATAATCTGTATTCTCCTAGACCATGGTTGAAAAATATTATATGACTCTGAGAATATTCTTGTCCTTTATGTACTTCAACGAGCGTATAAGCGACTTCTTCTTTTTCTAGAAATTTCGATAGAGGGATTTCCACTCTTATTATGTGCAATATCTCTTCAATTAAGGAGTAAGAGTTCACTCTTCTCTTTTATGAGGGAGGCGCAGAGTTAGCCAGTAGGTAGTACTTCCTGCTTGATGTAAGTTATGATAAGTGTTATCCAAGATGGTCGGGCATCGTCGCTTATTCCCATCATCCCAACTCCTGGGATTTTTATGTTGGGGCTGCTAAGAGCTTCTTGGATGAAGGAATGATTTACTCCATACGATTTAGTGCTGGCCAACTTATATAAGATGCCTGCTTGGGTGTTATGCTTTCTTGAGATATGTGATATCTTTGATGTTTTGAGTTTTGTTAACTTCTCTCTTGATAAGAAAAACATACGGTTGTAGAAGTGACTCTTTAGTAGGGGTTCTCCTTTAATTTATGATGCTACAAGTTGTGGTTTTGTCCTAAGCCTAATGCTTTCCACCCTTATCACTGTGACCAATGTAAGGCCGACAATAAATGCTTCATAACTGACTTTATTATTGGTAGTTTAGTTTTCCAAAATAAGTCTGCATTTGCTTCCATGACTGTTCGATGACCCGTGTGTAAATACTATCCAAGTATATGCCGACTTTGGTGTGACTGGGCTTATTTCTGCTATCAAATCTGCCAAGAGTTATGTTTTTAGAGATTTCCTAAATTTATACGAATCATCAAACTCAAAAATCTCAATGGAGAGTTTCTTCAGTCTTCCAACTAGATATGGACGACATAAAATTTGCTTTAACGGTATGTCGGTCTTGACGATTATGACATCTGCTAGGAAATAGTGTTGTAGCTTTTTGGATGTCGTCATTAACACTAGTGCCTCATTTCTATCTTTTGATATTGTGTCTCTATTTTGCCTAAGTATTTAGTGATGAAATAAACTAGGCTCTGTTGGCCATTTGGCTCTTTTATCATGACGAACAAATGTACAAAGGTTCTCCCATCGTAGGAGGAGATAACATGTGTGGAGTGGAAAAGTACATATTCAGAGATGAGAACACTTGTTGACAATCAAGGGTCAATTCTAAAAGTGTTTCTTTCTTTAATAGCTTGTAAAAAGGGAGGGTATGTTGTGTTGAATTTGAAATGAATCTATTTAAAGATGTTAGCATCCCGTTAAACTTCACGAATTTATTCTTTGTTGTAGATGCCTCCATCCAAATGACCGCCTCACACTCGTCTATATTTTCTTTTATGCCTCTTTATATCAAATAAAAACCTATAAACTTGTCGGCTTTCACCTTGAAGGTGCACTTTTCTAGATTGAGGCTCATATTGTAATGTCAAACTATTTAGAAAACTCGGGCAAGGTGCTGGTCATGTAACATTTCTTTATTGAACTTGACAATTATGTTACCCATACAAATCTCCAATATTTAGCCTATTTCTTCCTTGAAAACATTGTTCATCATTATTTTATATGTTGCTTCGACATTTTTCAAACCAAAGGGTATTACTTTGTACAAGTAGTTAGCTTTCTTGGTCGCAAAGTGGTGTTCCCTATATCCATCTTGTACATTGGTATCTGATTGTTTTTGAAGTATACATCTATAAAAATACATGAGTTTTTATCCGGCTAAGTTGTCAACCACTTATTTATACTTGGGACCAGATTAGTATAATCAACGCACATTCTCCATTTTTTTAGGCTTTATGAACCAATACTACATTAAATAACTACCCAATGTATCTTACTTTAAAGATTAAATTAGTGTCCAAAAGACCTTGGATTTTCTTTGATGTCGCCTCTGCCTTCTCAAAAGAATACCGCAAACTCCTTTCGAACACCTACTGGGCGTTGGGATCAATGTTCAACTGGTGACATGTCATGCTATGATCTATGCTAGGAATCTTGTGGGGAGATATGGTGATGATCGACATTAGATCTCAAACATTTTATTAATCCTTCCTTTACTTCACCTGGTAGGCAGACTATTATCCATACTATCTTTATCGAATTATCATCTAACTGAACGGTATCAAAGCCTTTATCTAGGATAGCTTTTTTGACCTTCACTTTAATCTTAATTAATAGACCTAATTTATCTTCCAATGGGGTTTCTTCAATGTGAGCGTTCAACTTAGCCACATTTTTCTTTCTACTAGCTTCTCGGGTTATTCCTTCAGGGATAAAGGTAGCTGTCAAGGGATTCTTCGGTATCACTTCCTGTGTCTGCCAATATCCAAGAAGGTCAGCTTTGATTACAATAGTTTTACCATGATCAATGTGGTATTTACTACATGTGTACGGGAGAAGCCAAAACATCTAGGACTTCCAAGAATGGGTGAGCAAGGATACTGTTTTATATGTTTTCGCATGGAACCACGACAAAACAAACATCCACTTTCCTTCTATTACTCCCTTCTCCCAAGGATATTGGCACATACACTTGCCCACACAGATGAGCCAGAAGGATTTGAGCTTCGCATGACCTCAAATCTAGTTCCCTTGAGCCGAGTTAAATGAAAAGTTTGAAGTGAATCAAATTGCATGAACTTTTATCGTCTAAGAGGATCCTTGAAACATAATGATTATCGATGGCAAAGGTAATGATCAGCGAAGGCGTAACATTTGGAATTCCGTCCACCTTCTCGTGGTCTCAAAACCCTATCATTGGTCATTCATCTCTCTGCTTATTACTTAAAGATGTGAATTTACTAGATCCTAAAGGAGGAAAGTTTGTTTCTCTGAACGAATCTTCATCGATTGTGTTTACGATGAACGTTAATGAAGAACTTGATATGAAGAATTTTAAAGGATCTTTTAGAAGGAGATTTGGGATTGCTTCCATCTTATCGTATTGGTCGAAGCGATTAACATTTGAATTGGAGGAGATTTGACTGAACCAGGAGAAATCTAATCAAATTAGATATCTGATTATGAAAATAGGTAGATAAAGTGTGTTGATTCCCATAGATAACATTAGTGTTCTGTTCTAGAACTATAATATTAGTGAAGGTTCTTGGTGCAATTGTGCAAAGTAAACTTGCAAGATTAACACTCAACACTAAAATCAATTTTAAATAAAATAGTAAAGTGAGTTATTGATTGAAAATCAAACAATTTTTTGCTCTAAATAGTAGTATTTAAATAATGGACAAAATTGAAATTTCTATACATTTGACTATATATATATAATTATTCATGAAATAAAAGTTAAGGAAAAACCGTTTAAAGATATATATATAAATAGTCAGGATCTATTGATAATAAATATAAGTTTAAAAAACTTACATCAAATCTCAACCATTAAAAAATTACTCAAACACTAATATTAAATAAAAAAGAAAAAAATATAAGGCTCATTCTGTTTTTTTTTAATCTGATATTTATATGATTGTTTCATCGAGTCTTATTCATAATTAAGATTTGGTGCAAGTATTTTAGACTTTTATATATTTATATCTAAAACACTTGCACTACATCTTAATTATTAATAAGACTCGATGAAACAATCATATAAATATCATTTTTTTTAAAAAAGAATTAGTTTTATATTTATTTTTTATTTATTTAATATGAGTGTTTGAGCAATTTTTTAATGATTGAAATTTGATATAAGTTTTTTAATCTTATATTTATTATCAATAGATAGATCCTGACTATTTATATATATATATTCTCTAAACGGTTTTTCCTTAACTTTTATTTCATGAATAATAAATTTAATCAACAAAAAATATCTAAAGAAGTGAATGTTCACATGATTATTAGACACGCCATATCCTCATAGATTGATCATTATATATAAGGAAATAACCCAACTTAGCTTACCCTTCAAGCTAACAGCTTTACACATGACATATTCCTGCAAATCATATTCTATATATAGCAGAAGGACGCAACATCTCTCAAGAAGCATCCAAAACTTGAGCCTTTATAATTCCTAACTAAGCGATGGCATCATTGCTGGAATTGCTGCGCCTCCTTGACGATGAAGCTGCTGACGAACGACAACCCCAACCCCGACGACGAAACCGCAGGGCCGCTGCTCGTCGGCAAAACCCGCCTAAGGACACTTTTTCCAACAGTGGGACACAAAACATGGAGGGTCTTATTAACAACGCCGGTTATGTTGAGGGAAATGGCAACGGAGCTATCATCTATGGTGGCTTTGATTCCTCTACAAAGACTTACAATTAATTTTCTATATACACAGTTCTACCAATAATCACATCTTCTACTTCATAAGAAAAACTATTGTACTATTAAATAAGTGTTGTAATACTTTAAAAACATCAGCTATAGCTCTCTCATAATTAATAACCTGTAACAATATATATATATATATATATATATATATATATATATATATATATATATATATATATATATATATATATATATATATATATATATATATATATATATATATATATATATATATATATATATATATATATATATATATATATATATATATATATATATATATATATATATATATATATATATATATATATATATATAATTGGAATATTATTAAAATTATTTTAATGTTTCGAAAATAATTATCATATAGACATATATATTTAGATTATATTAATTATTTTATCAAATTAATTGTCTTAAGTGATCAAATAAATTTTAAAAATTAATTAGATTTTATTTTATAATTAATTAATTAATTGGTTATGAGGTTTTTAAACACTGATTTAGATTTTTAATTTTTTTTTTTCAATCCGGTAACTCAATTGGGATATTTAATTCGGATGTTTTGTGATTCGTCATCGTGTCATTCGTTTAGATTTGAATTAAAATCTTACAGCATCAATAAAATATAGTAAATGATATAATGAAAAATTGAGATGAAAACAAACCAAATGAAAATTTATGTATGTAGGATTTGGTCTTTCCCATGAGAATTAACTATGATTTAAATTGAAGTTTTTTTGGTTGTATCGAATTTTCCAAAGTGTGTGTAACTTAGAAAAGAAAAATTACGGGTGCTAATTTATTGATGTTTGAATTTTTCTTTTCTGTATTTGTTTTTTATAACAAATAATTATTTGGAGTAACTTAAAATAATTATTTGTTATACTTGGTTTAACATAATGTTTAAAATTTAGTTTAACTATACTTTTGTTAGGTAACAGTACGTCGTATAGAATTTCATATATTAATAATCATTAATATACAAATTTTATTATTTATTTTTTAAAAATTTATATAAGACTACAACACGATCAATGTGTTGAGTAATTATTGAAAAAAAAATTCATATCCTTCGAATTAATCTCCGTATGGCATAAATACAATTATGTTTAATTTTTAGTTTAAATAATCTGAGTATTTTCGTGTATAATTAGGATAGTTTAATAATTATTTGATTATTAAACTATCAAATAAATATATAATTTTAGCATTACATTTGCACGTGATGTTTATGTGAATTTTAAATTAAAAATGTCTAGTGACTTTGGTTTAGTTGGTCAAAAGAACAAGTCGTAAAAGTAACTCATGTTGTCTAAATTTGATTAAATCAGAATTATAAAAGATGTGGTGTGTAATTGTTCATGTGATATATTATAGTCAGTCAAATGGAAAACACATTTTGGCAGAATAATTGCATGTATGTGATGATAAATACGTAGTAATTATTAAATTTATCTATGTGGTTAATTAATGATTGATGTCAAAAGGCGTTCATTAACTCATATGACATATTACTAATATTTTACCATTGTGGGACAATACCACTTACAATGATTCTTACCATCAAATATTGAGAATTGATAGTGTTTTTGGTATCTTGTTTAGGTCTTATTTAGTGTGAATATAAAGAATATTTTGTGTGTTTATATGGTCATTTGACATGCCTACTATTGTTGTTGTATGTTTGTTGTTCTTTACAATTGATCCACTTGTTGCTGCTACAACTTCAAATTTTACTGCTTAGATTTAATCTATCCCTTTGTTGAGTGGGATGGAATTCAAGTCCTAAATAGAATCTGTGGAGATCGTTCTAGAATGCATGAACTTAGACTTACCCTGAGGGAAGAATGTCCCACAACCACTGAAGAGAATTCAAATTAAACTAAAATAGAAAAATGGGACCGGTCTAACCGAATATATCTCATGATTATCAAAAGATCCAAATTTAAAATGATAAAGGATTCTATTTAGAGATGGCAATGGGCAGGGTACTATAGTACCTGTCCCCAAACCCGCGTGGGGATCAATGTTTGTACCCGTACTCGTACCCTATGGGTACCTAAGTACCTATACCCATACTCGTTTACCTGCATTTCTAATAAAAAAATGATCGATCAATTACATTTTATCATGTCATTTTAATTTTTTAACAACATTTAAAAAAATTGAGGATGTTATTGTTGAGTGAAGAAATAAACAAACATTTATATTAAAATAGGTAAAAAATTAATAGTGATGTATTCAATAAAATTGTTAAATTAACATGTATATATAATAATAAAAGGATAACTTTATAAATATATATTGTACGGGTATGAGGTGGGCTGGGTACTAAAGTACCTATATCCGCACCTATACCCACTTATTTTAGTAGGTAATTGTTTGTGTCCGTGCCCGTATCCATTTTGCGAGTTTTTACCCTACCAGTTGGATAATTTTTACGGGTATTCACTGGGAATGAGTACAATTGTCATCCCTAATTCTATTATTGAAAGCGAAAGCGCCAAGAGGTTTTAAATGGACATTTAAATTATTATTAAAGAATCGTTTTCATTTGGATTTATTTGAGACTTGTGTAGAACCAACTATTAGACGAAATCTAATTTCTATTTCTATTTTGGAAAAATTAGACTATGCTTGTTTGTTTAGAAATAATAAATATAGTCTTCCATATGATTCAAACGTTGTTGGTTTTGGTTCTTTGAATGATAATCTTTATATGCTTGATATCGAATGTTCGTATAACAAAATAATAAAAATAGAGTCACATGGTACAAAATGAAAATAAAATGAGAATTCTACCATTTTATGACATAAGCTATTATGACATATCTCTAAATAGAAAATTCATATTATTATATCAAAGGTATTCTTGGATCCCTTGATTTTTTGGACTTTCAAATCTATTAAGGGTAAGCAGACAAACAAGAAGAATTTATATGCTGAAAGAGTTAAGGATGTCTTAGAATTGATTCATACTCGAGGTATGGCTACCTATATTTGATTCATGACAAATCTCAATCTTTGGATGTTTTCAAGTCATTCAAAGCTGAGGTCAAACTTCAACTTGGAAAGAAAATTATGGTTGTCAAGTCCGACCGTGGAGGTGAATACTGTGGCCGACATGATGTATCAAAGGATCAACGTCCATAGTCCTTCGTGTTTTTCCTCGATGAGTGTGTAATTACTCTGCAATACACAATGTCATGAAAACCCAACATTAATGGAGTTGTAGAATGACAAAACCAAATTATTAACAATATGCTAAGAAGTATATTGTAGTTTGTATCCGTAATAGAGTACCTAGTAATGTAGTAGCTAAGACTCCTTATAAGTTATAGACCGGGAAAAGGCCTAGCATTGAGCACCTTCACATTTGAGGATATCCAGCTGAATCAAGGCCATATAGGCTTAATGAAGGTAAGTTGTATGCAAAGACAGTTAGCTATTATTTTATTGTATACACTAAAAGCTCTTATGGGTACAATTTTATAATTTCGTCACTAGAATAATTTTTTAAACAAGAAATGCTATATTCCTTGAGGGTGTTGAGTTTGGAAGGGAATGAATCATATGAAGTGTTGCCTTTAATGAAGAAAGTGTTTTTCACAATGATCAAGTCTTTGTACCTATCTTTGTTCTAAAAACAGACCTAGAAATAAACAATGATGGTATTCCTAACATCTCTTAAGAACAAGAGAATACTGAGTTTCTACCTCAAGCATCCCATATAGTTCAAACTCAACAACCTCAAGCTTCATCATTAAGAAGATCCACTAGAGAGAGGAAAAGGGAAATTTCAAATGATTATGTTATATTTCTTCAGGAACGTGAGGATGTCGTTGGTATGACCGAGGAAGATCCTATCAACTTTAGTGAAGTTATGCAAAGTCTAAACTTTCTTAAGTGGGTAAATTCCGTGAAGGATGAGATGAAGTTGATGGTTGAGAATGATGTTTGGGATCTCGTTAAATTACCTGAAGGAAAGAAACTGCTCGGTTCTGGAATCACAACTAAGAATAAGAATTGATAGTGAACGGTAGTGATGGCGGATCGTGGCTTCTAATGCGGTGAGGTGGGGGACCTTAAAGGTTAGAACTCTAATGCTTAAGTTAGTATATGAGGAAGAATATTTAAGTGAAATTGTATTTTAAATTTGTCACCGGATTTTGGCACATTCTCTATATATAGTAGAAAGGGAATACCTAACTCACTATTAGTTAGGAGTGAATTGTGGTGATCCATTTAATCTGTTTGTAGCTGAGACCTTTGATGATCACTAGATGATAATCTTCGTGTATTAGGAAGATTCTGGAAGGAGTGTGACCTTTATCTCACAATTGACTGGGATCATTATGGTTGACTTAAATTCATCCGGGGTCGATCTGGTCGGCCTAGAACATTTGCCCCTAAGCCCTTGTCGTCGTGTAGGTAGGTAACGACTTGGCATTATAACCCCGTATGTTAGCCAATCGTTGATTATTTTTAAGACTTATGAATAAGAAACATTCTAGTTTTTACGAAATCGTGCATTTAATGCACTTTACTTCAAACGTCTTTTCATAAATATCATCATTACGGGCCTTGGGAATTGAAAATTTTGAGTGTTTCCTGTGAGTGATTTAGACATGTTTAGTGAATCCTTTTGCATTCTAAGATATAACATGTTTCTAGAAGGGTAAACACCTTTTTTATTCTAAGTATTTCTATTCTGTCAGTTTTTCTTTAGCGTTTTTTTACCCTATAACTTCAAATTTAGTGCAATATAAGCAAGGAATCACAGAGAATTGTTCCTAAATCTCAAAATAATACTCCATCTTTTTGGATGGATCCTGCTTATTTTTCCAATATTTATACTTTTTCTAAACCAGGTGGTTATGAAGGTGTTTTCAGTGAATTTGGTTTATCTTCTGTCTAAAGAATCTTGAGTCCTTGTGAGGATGAAAGAACATGTGATAACTCTCTCATCAGGACGAAGGAATATGTGA